GGTGCTAAAAGAAAAACACTTGGTGATGGAACTAGCGGAATTGGTAGTGGTAAGAAGGGTAGAAGTGCTGGTGATCAATCTAATGTCAAATTGCCTGCTCATGGATATCCACTTGAACATCCATTCAACAAAGATGGTTATAAATATATATTAGCTGAACCAGATCCTCATGCTCCATTTAGACAAGAATTTGATGAATCTAATGAGTCTGCTGGAAAATTGATTCCTGGATGGTTATATAGGCCCCTTTGTCCAAACCAAGTATTATTGGCATTACATGATCGTGCCCCACAGCTACATATTTCTGAGGACAGGTTGTCAGTAACTGGAGAGAAAGGATACTGTATGGTACGAGCTACACACAGTGAGTAATGATTGTATATTATTTTTTTTATAAAAAAAATATATATTCATATATATAGTTAATTTTAAGGTGTTGCCAGCGGAAATTGGTATTGGGAGACTACAGTTGAAGAAATGCCTGATAATTCTGCTTGCCGTATTGGTTGGAGCCAAGAATTTGCAAATATACAAGCACCATTAGGATATGATAAATTTGGCTATTCATGGAGATCTAGGTAATAAACATTAAAAACAAATAAAACCAAAATTAATCAATAAAAAAAGATGGTTTTAAAATATTTTAAACTTATTTTTAAAGAAAAGGTACAGTGTTCCATGAGAGTCGTGGAAAACATTATAGTAGCGGTTTTGGTGAAGGTGATACATTAGGCATAATGATATGTTTACCTAACAATGTGATATCTCTTCCACCCACTCATAAAGATTTGGTATATAATTTTATTTATAAATATTTATTAATTGCTTTAATGCCTCTCAAGTAGTACTAAAATAAAGTATTTCATATGCTCTTTTAGATATTGATAAAATTCAAAAGCCATTTATATTATGAAGAACAGTCTCAAGATAGTAGTCGTGATGCACTTAAATGCTTGAAACCATTAATTGGGAGTAAAATAATATATTATAAAAATGGAGAATGTTTTAATGAAGGTGCTGTAGATTTATATGATGGAAAATATTTTCCTACAGTATCTTTGTACAAAAATTGTACCCTGTCTTTAAACTTTGGACCTGATTTCAAATACCCACCACCACAAACAGAAGATTTCAAATATAAAGGAGTATGTAGACAATATATCATTATTTATTTCTAATGACCAAAAAGTAGCTATATATAAAACAAAAACAAACATTTTTTCAGGTATGGGAAAGGGCTGGTGAAGCCATATGTGAACAAACTTTAGCCGATATATCATTTTTAACAATTAATGAAGGTAAATTAAAATTAAGCGATATATAATGATATTATTTTGTATGTATCAAACTATGCTATTTTTTGTAATATTTCTTTTTTTTATTGTATTTGATTCTTGAAGTAAGCATGACTACTTCCTTATTTTATAAGTCTACAAGTAATCTTAGTTAACCATTTCTGTGTATTATATTTATATATATACCATTTTGTAAAAAATAAATAACAGTAAAAAGTACTAGTAATAATCTTCAATTTGTAAACTTTTAGTTATAGTAAATACTGTGACTGATGAAACATTGTTTAACATATTGTTATATGATATATAGATCTAATTCTACAAGAGGAAACTATCATAATTCGTAACTTATAATTACAATAAAAACGAACTGTACCCAAAAATCAAAATGTCTTCATTAATAAATGGATTGTTAACTGTTCTAGAATTTATATTATGTCAGTAAGATACACTATATAGGTATACTTATTGTCTTAAGTTTTAACCTCCTAAATTCCACACATTTTTAATTTAATTTCCTACATATTAACCAACATAAATAATAGCTTACTAGTGGTGATATTTCTGCAAGTCTAAAATTTTTCTTTTTCTGTGAACTTTTTAAGTCTTGTAAGGAATTCTCTATAAAAATTACAAAATCTCAGATATTTTAAGTGAATTGTGAGTATATTTATATTTTAATGTTCTACATATCACCATAACACGCTTAAAAATTATCAAAAAAAAACCAACAAGCGAACACAGATTATAGTCTTACCTTTAAGTTCAACAACATGCCAATTCATTCTAATTATTAAGCCAACCACACATGCTTGTGTAACGTCCTTTAAAGAATTTTTTTCCTTGACTTTTTTTGAGATATGGCAACTTGTATATTATGCATACATGATAATTTGTATTATTTAAACAGTTTCATATCTACCAATTTCTAGGTTGACAGAAATCAAATACAACGAATTATTAAAAATGTCAGACGTTTTATAAAATCTTATTAGGAGATGAAATACCTGGGTAGAAAGGAATGTAGGCAATTAGTTGATATTTAACAGAAAAAGACGAACATGACCTATCGCGGCAGTGTTAGTAGGTAGTTAGGTGCTACATTTATACTACGTTGATGAACTTTGTATGCTGTTAACTGCTAAAGAAGAAAATATTAATTATACACTCGTTAGACATTGCGAATTACCGTAACTATACAACTTCCCTACTACCCTACCCAAGACAAACTGTTGTAGCAAAATTGCATATACATTTCGCCGTACCGTTTCTAATAACTATAATTCTTTGAGCGTAACCGCGAGGAATCAGCCATCAGCATAATTAAACCAACTGGAAATTTAGAATTATACTATTTTTTACAATAAATTTATAAAATTTACTCCTTTTTAATATCTAACATTTTAGCCGCTATAATTTGTTCTGAATCCGTGAATTATACGCAAATATAAATAGTGATCAATTTTAATTAAAAAAACAGAAGTAAAGTCTGCGTTATTATCACGATTGCTGTATTTGCCGATATACTGAATGACTTGAAACAATTTTGACATAATATTTCTTATATTGAGTTAAAAAATATTTAAGTCTAAAAATTGAAAAAAAAAACACTTAAAATTTAAAGCGAATTATAATAAAATATTTGTTTCAAAATTTCTCGACTCATTACATTCTTGAATATCGAGCTATAGTAGCTATACGACCAAAGGAATTATTATAACCATAAAAGGTACGATGGAATGGAATATTAACGCAATCAACAATAATATTGAAAAAATGAACATTTAACGATTAGTGATTACAATCACTCAGGACAAGTTATTAAAAAAGTTAAGCCATTAACCATCAAACCGTGTAAATGCATCATTTACAAGTTTAAACATATAACATACATCAGTGTATACATACGTCAAGAAGCAAGAGAATCTAAATTAAGACTATCCTAGACTTAAAATACCAATGTGAATAAGGATGGATTAAGGTTGAAATGTTGAGGTCGCTTATATATAAGTTAGATGCAATAAGGTAGAAAAGTCGCCTTGAGCGATGTCGAGTAATATAAATTTAAACAGCACAATAACCTTAAAAATTCGTCTGAATTTCTAAATTTATGCGAATTAGGTATCTGTCTACAATGAAATTTATATAATTTACACTATAAATTCTATTAGTAAAACCTTGTAGCAATAGTAATCTAGTCATCAGACTGCCATCTAGCATCTATATATTTAAACTTTAAACATGTACCAGCTATATGTCGTAGGCCTGACTGACTCAAGTGTTTAAACACACCTAGGTAACCTCAAGTTTTGCCGCCCCTTACATGTAAAATTTTTAAAAATCATAATGCAAAAATGTTAAATGCCGCCCTAGGCGTGGGCCTGTGTCACCTCCCCTTGATCCGAGCCAATATACGCGTGGTTATCAAGTATATATGTTACGGGTAATGTTAACATTCGGATAATGTCGACATTATCCGGCTAATGTCGACATTAGCCATCCATGTTGGCTAATGTGTAATTTTTCGTTTATAAACTTGAAATATCAACATTATCCGGATAATGTTAACCTTAGCCAGTCAATTTTGGATAATGTTAAAAGTTATGTACTATTTAATTTATTTAAGTTTCATCACTGCTTGGTATATTAATTTAACGTGACCACTGACCCCAGCTTATCTTATCTTAACTTATAACTGAGTTAGTCAGTTATCTTACCGATAAAATATCATTAATACCGCTTGATGAGGTGGTACCTATAGAAAAATCATTGAGGGAAATTGCTGGTCTAATATCAGACGGTAGTGGTGGTCAAGGATACAAAAGGTGTTCATGCAAAGGTAAATGTGATACCAATCGTTGTAAGTGTAAATCATCTAATATTTTGTGTAATTCAAAATGTCATGGAAGTATGCCATGTAATAATAAATAATAACACATTCATTCTATTCTTAAATACTATTTAAAAAAAAATCTTAAAATATAAAATAAAATTTAATATTGTATTATTAGTAGATTAGGTTATTAAAAATGAAAAATAAGCTCATTTAAATTATACTCGTATTATGTATTTTATGGTAATTAGTAATTATTGTATCTTTTTTTTTTGCATATGGTTAATTGTATCTAAAATATATTTAATATTGCTAATAATTTAAAATGATTTCCTATCATGCATGATGCAATTTTATAGTTGTTAAGACATTATCCATAAGTCCTTGGCTAATGTCATATTAACCGGTTAATGTTAACATTTGCCGGCATTTAATAATATTCATGGCGGGTAATGTTAACATATGGCTAATGTCGACATTAGCCGGATAATGTCGACATTATCCGAATGTTAACATTACCCGTGACATATATATTAGTTCGTTATTCGTATAAAAACATAAGTTAAACATGTAGGTAAAAACCGTAAACAATTTTTATTTTTTTTTTAATAGTTTGACTTGACATTAATTTAATTTAAAACAACAGTAATTTTTTTCCTATTTAAAAAATATCTGGGCAGTAGAGACGATAATCCGAGTTTGCAGGTAAAACGTATCCGGTACATCCTATTGCTCCGCTTACAAAAATCGTTTAATAATATCGGTATATTAACCTCCCCCGCATGGTCGCACTCCATAAAATATACGTAATAATAAATGAATATAGGTATTATATACATCTAAATTTACCTATATATTCAACGAAATATTATTTAAAGTAAAATGCATTGGGTACTATGTTTGGAAGTCCGTCTTGTCGCCTTCACTGTGGCAACGAAAACATCACGGACTCCTTCTTTGGTTTTCGACGAACATTCTAAAAATGCGAAAGCTTTTATGTCTTCGGCCACTGATTGACCAATCTCTTTGGTGGTCACGACATTATGTTCCGGTATCCTGATGGTAGTTTTTCTCGGTGTGTCCGGATTATGATTTTCTGCGGTTGCTGCTGATTTTTCCGGTTCTAGTCTGATAACAGTCTTTTCACCAATTTCCAATACATCCAATTTTTCTCGCCCTGCTGTTAACACGTCTTCGCAGACTTCCAATGTCGCCTGGACCGACAGCCCTTCGACCGTTTCCGTTGTAAGCGGTTTCCCGTCAAATTCTAGTGTGAAATGCTCGTCCATTGGTAACCCACACACTTCAGTGTCGCCTTTCGGCAGTTCTGTATCATTTTCAGTAATCGTCTGTCCGCCGGTGACTTCGTCGGTTGCGTTGCATCTGTCGACCGAGTCCGACTGCGGTAGATCAATGTCCTGTAGATGATTAACGCGTAGGTCCTTCTTGTTGCCTACCAATATCACCGGCACTTCCTTGCAAAAATACCGCACTTCTGGAACCCATTTGTCAATCACGTTGATCAACGATTTGGGAGTATCGATCGAATAACATATGATCACTACATCCGCGCCCCCGTATGACAGTGGTCGCAGTCTGTCGTAATCCTCTTGGCCGGCAGTGTCCCACAGGTCGAGCTCTACCTTTTTCCCGTCTACCTCGATCACGGTTGAATAGTAGTCGAACACCGTTGGCACATACACCTCTGGAAAAATATCCTCGAAAAATACGCGTAAGAGACACGTCTTACCGCTCTCGCCGTCACCGACGATCACCACTTTCTTTTTAATAGGAGACATATTTTCCTACGGCAAAAACGAATTTAATTTATTTTATCATGTTATAATATATACAAAATAAATCAATTATATATTCTTGTTTTTTCTGGAATATAATACACGGTGACGTGCGGGCATTTACCTAAATTTATTATGACATAATATTAACATATACGCGCCAATCTAGAACCGACAATACCGATCGATTCGCTTAATTTTTTTCTATTATATATTATATTATTACTTATTGGAAATAGAAGTACGAGGTTTAGTCCCAACCTTGAACTTTTTATAAATCAGTACTTGATACTAGGTAGTAGCTATAGTCTACTAATTATCAATTTCATCACACAGATACGTGTAATTTATTTCTATTTCTATTTATAATCAGTGATGAGCAAAATTGTCTTGATCTTGCTGTACGATCAAGATCAGAACCAAGACCAAGACTACAATGGATGTGCAAGACCAATACCAAAACAAGGCCTACACTACAAAAGCCTTACAGTCTTGTAAATATTATTGTAATTAAAAAAAAAAAAAATCCCAGAAAACATAATTTTTAAATTAAGTAATCTATTAGAAAATAAAAATTCTATAAAAATATAATATTAAATTTAACGAGCGTACGACGCGACGTTCGATGTTCAATAAAATAATTAATTATTAAATTATTGAAGACATGATAAACAATAATTAGATATAATTAAGTTGCCCAATATAACACAAAATATGTTGATGTGTGATCACAAAAACATATTAAAATATTAAATAATAACATCAGTCATCAATACGGGTGATACGGTATATTTATAAGCCATAATATTTAGAGCCATAAATACACACCTCCATTGGATATTTGAATATAATACTAGTAAATAGTAACTGGATTTAATTATAATCGATACTTGAAATATTATTATATTGTACTGGTATAGTTAATAGTTATATATTAGAGATAATAAACAATTAATAAATTCTACAAAGTCCTAGCTTAAATAAGGACATAATTTTTTTCTTAAAATTTTAAATAATGCAAGAGTCTTGGAACAAGACCAAGACTGTCGGTTTGCTCACCACTATTTATAATTTTCTGTTTTTATTGTTTTTAATTTACCTGTATTAGATATGTTTAAAATTCATACAGCGCAGAGGTATTTGTACAACAACTAATATAAAAAAATCTATAATTTAAAAATTATTTCTTACCTATTTCTTAAAATATATTTTTGAAACTTTTTTTTAAAAACTATTAGTCTAAGCAGTAAGCACATAGCTTACTGATTAAAATTATTTACGAATATGTAGATAGCATTTGTACTTAATGTGTAAGTATATTTTTAGAGACTTGTGTGGCAGCTTTCATAGATACGTAATAATAAAATATTATAAATGATTGAACATTTTTTTTATCCAAATTTATGAAATCACATGAGGTGTACTTGAAATACAGACATTTTGACATTTTAATAGCTATACGATTTTGCGTTTTAATAAAGTGTTTAATAATTAGATTAATAATGTAAATAATATTTATAATTTTATAGGACAAATATATTTCTTTGCAAATTGTGACACTGCAAAAACGCAGTAAATAATTATTATTATTGAAAATATTACGTATATAAACATAATATAACTTCCCATGTTGTCTACATAAAATAACTTAAATTACCAACCTTCAATTCAATTTTTTCTTGATACTTTAATTCAAGTATGTATTAATTAGATTATTCAAGTATATCTAAATGACAATATAATATTTCGTCAACAAATAACGCTCGTTCATGAACACAACAAATAGCTTAATAAATATTTAAACGAGATTTAGATTAAGAATATTCACTATTTTATCGCAGAACCAAAGTAAATTAAATAGTATAATAGATAGTTTTATTTGTTTTATAATATTTGTTTAATAATTATGTAAGTGCATAATAATATACAATAATGATAATAAAAATTCGAAAATTATCATAATGGAAATGGAAATTATAATTTATGGATTACGCCATAGAAGACCCGTTTGGTCGCACAGTGAAAATCGCAGTGCACGTAACTCATTATCAAAAAATTGGAAATAATTTACTTAGTTATAATATTATAATATAATACGTGTAAAATATTGTATAAAATGATTAATAATAATAGGGGTCTAATGTCTAAATAAACTTAATTTGATACAAATTTGAACGTAATTACACATAGTTTTGTTTTTGTCGTATACCAGGGATGGGCAACTGACGGCCCGCGGGCCGCATGCGGCCCGTGTACCTTTTTTATCTGGCCCGCGCTACATTTTCAAATCACTTCATATAGCTTATCTGTATTTTATTACATTTTTCGATAAAATGTAGATATAAATTCTTATTTAGTTTAAAACCGAAACTAAATTATTAAATCGTTTAACAGATGAAACCTTGGGACATTTTCTAAGAGTTTCAACTACAGAAATAAAAGTGGATTTTACTAAATTGTCTATTGAAAAACCTTATCCTCAAGTATTACATTAAATAATAATAGTAAATATAAATAAATTAAGATAAAAAATAAATGTTAGTAAATTTGAAGGACTTTTTTTTTTGCTTTCTCCTATGCACTGCGTCCCGTTAGATTTTAAAGTACTTAAAAGTGGCCCGTTAGTTACTTTGAGTTGCCCATCTCTGTCGTATACAATATACATGGTAGACAAATGTCAAGTACTGGTGGCAGGGGTAATTGTGACATTTTGTTACTGGTCTAAAAGTTTAACCTTTGAATTATGGGTCAGTTTCATCGGTTCTATCTCATTTACACTGTAAATTTGACAGTATATTTATATATGTATATTATTCTAATAATCACAAGTCAGAACTTCTAAGTCGTAACAATAGAAGTCATAGTCAAACAAGTAGGTAGTTAATTTTCCTTCATAAAAATTCATTGTTTCAATCAAAATAATTATTTTATAAAAATGTATTATTCTATTTAATAATAATAAATCATAAATCATTAGAATATTAGATTAGAAATATATTTGTATCTTCTAATAAAACACGCTAACTTTGTTCATTGGTCATCACATTGTATTTATTTGTTTACAATATCTAATACAAATTATTTTATTTCGTAAATAATTATTTCCTTATTACGTTATTATATATTTACTTTATATGTTCAGTGTTTTTATAATTTTTCATTTGTGTTTTTGTTTAGTGATGAAACTGTCTTGAATTTTTTACTTTTATAGTTGAACAGAACTTAACAAATTTAAAATACTAATTATTATACTGATGTGTTACTATGTAATCAACACTGATTGTCTAAATTCAATAATTATACTTTATAGTAAGAAAGTACCATAATACATTGATATATCAATAATAGATAACATACCTAATTGTTGATATTAATTATTGTATTAAAATAAATAACAATATATAAGTGTTATAAATATGTATATAGTAAATATATACTATTAAATATTAATGCACAAATAATAATTAAATAATATTTATTCATATTTCAAACAATATAATACATCTAAAAACTGTGCTTAACATTTTTGTTCTTTAATACGTTTTAGCTTTTTTTTTTCATATTCTTGAAGACTTGTATGTCGCAGAGGTATGCCTTTTAAAACTTGAGAATTTGATTCAATTATCTAAAAATAAATGAAAAATTAAATTACAACTTGATACAGTTATTTTAATGATTTATTATACATACATTATTATTAATAAATAATTTACCTAGTAATTATAATATTAAATAAAAAACACTAACCTTTACTGTAATATAATCGCCAGGTTTAATGTCTTGATTTAATGACGATTCTTCAATTGGTAATTTGCTATTTGGAATAATTACTTTTATATTTCCATCTGTTCGTCCGCATAGTTGAGATGGACCTCTACGACTTTCCTAAATTTAAAATGTTTATAAATATAATCGTTATAACTTTTAAGTTATAATAAGTATAAAATTAGATGAACTTAAAACTTGCATCTATAGTAATAGTTTTTATTTTCTCATCTATCAACATTTTGTACAAATCAAAACTATAACATCTTTAAGATTTAGTAAGAAAAAACAATAAATTTGGTTAAAAAATTGTGTACAATATATATCCAAAATATAATCAATTTTTTATTTGTGATATAAATATATATTACTATTTCAGTTAAGAGCATAAAAACCATTCTACTTGAATAAAAGGTAAGTTCAAATTAGAACCAAAGAAAAAAATGTTTGATATTCATCGTAAATTTAAACATTGTAACTTTAATTAAATATACCGAGTTTCATAAATTAAAAAATAATAATATTTATAATTAATTTTATCTATGGCCAATAATTAAAATTATAATAATATTAACTTACACCTTCAATCAAAATAAGCTGTTCAGTATTAACATATTGTTTGTTTAAAATTTCTGCATCTCTTCTAAATATACTAAACATTTTTTTCACTCTTTCTACTTTAATTTCATTTGGAACATCATCTTTAAAACGACGATATGCTGTTGTTTTCTGTAAAATATTAAAACATTAGAAAATTGATATCTTTGGAGTATTCATGTATACAACATTTATTCAACTGATATATATAACCATAAATATACCACTTAATATATTTATTTGGGATACAAAATTATAAAACTATTATTAAATAATAACTATTAATATTTAAAAAAAAAAAATTTTAAGTAACTTGTTTGTACTTTTTAATTATATATACATACAAATTATAAAAGTTATTACCTATTTATTATTTTATTTTATTCTATATTCAATTTAAAATTGTATGATAGTTACAAAAAATGTTATGTTTTTCCATATGACTAAATACTATTTTTGATGATCGAGATAAAGTATAATGGTTTGTGAGTTGATATTTTCAATATTGTCAGAACGAATATAAAATAGTGACAAAGTAAATGTTATTGTTAACTGCTAAATCAATTTTTTTGTATAATTTTTTATTCGTTAAATTTGTTTTAATAATTTAGCCTAATATAAATACATATATATTTCATAAAATATTTAATAAATGTAAATTTATAATTAATTATAATTATTATTATATATATTAATTATTTATGATTTAATAATAAATGTATTTACATAATATATGTATATATATATACTTATCATACTTCTCTCATACTGTATGCAAATAAGAATGCATTATGATATTTTACAGTTTCCATCAAACTAATAGTATCTTCAAATTGTTTATCAGTTTCACCACAAAACCCAGCTATAAAATCACTAGAATATGTTACACCGGGTAATCGATCTCTTATATGTTGAGCCAAATTTAAATATGATTCACGAGTGTAACCTCTTCTCATTTTCTCTAAGATTTCTGAGTTTCCACATTGAGCTGGTAAATGTAAATTTTTGCATACATTAGGTTTCTCCAAAATAATATCCAAAACCTGGATAATAAAAATAAAACATGAAACAATTCATTAAATACTAACAATTAAATTAAGTATTAACTTCATCAGGGAAATCTTTTGGATGTGGTGAAGTAAATCTTATTCGCATTTCTGGATCAATATCAGATACTCGACTTAATAGTTCAGCAAATCGAACACCACCTTTTTTCTCTTTGTAAACAGTTTTGAATCCTGATGCTAATGTATTATTTGAAGGCATAAAATATGAAGAAGTACTCAAATCACGATAACTATTTACATTTTGACCTAATATTAAAAATTAATGGGTTATGATGATATATTCAAACAGACATTAATTAACAATTACCTAATAAAGTTACTTCCTTGAAGCCTTTTTCTGATAAGTATTTTATTTCATCTAATATAGATTCAACAGGTCTAGAGCGTTCACGACCTCTGGTAAAAGGAACAATGCAATAAGTGCACATGTTATCACAACCTCGCATTATAGATCTGAAAATATAATTTTTTAATATATTGCCTAATATTTTTATAATAATATTCATACAAGAACCATTAAAAATATATTTTGAGTTATTACAATTAAACAAATATTTATATAACTAATATTAATTTTTTGATTAAAAATAATTTTAGCTTACACAAATGCAGTAACATTGTCTTCATTTAACTTAACAGGTTTTATTTCAGCATAAGTTTCATCAAATGATAGTAAAACATTAATTGCTTTTTGTCCAGCTTCAGTTTTTGCTAAAAGTCTTGGCAAGTCCCTGTAACTATCAGGGCCAGCTACAAGATCTACAGCTCCTCTTGTATCATTCACCAATTTTTCTTTTAATCGTTCTGCCATACAACCTAAAACATGAATAACAATAGTTGTAATTCTATGAATATAAGTGATAAACAATTTTTTTTGTATTATATAATTGAGTTTACCTAAAATTCCAATTTTCAATGGATCCAATTTACCTCTCCATCGTTTAACTGACCGTAATTGTTTAATACGTGTCCAAATTTTATTTTCAGCACCATCACGAATAGCACATGTAACAAGTAAAACTACATCTGCTTCATAAACACTGTTTGTTTTAATATAACCTTCACTTTGTAATATAGACCAAACAATTTCGGCATCATTAACATTCATTTGACAACCATATACTTCAATATAAACTTAAAAAACAAATGATGGAGTTAAGTAACAAAAAAAAAAAAAATTAAAATGATAATTTGAATTTTAAACAAAAATATTTGTTTTTAATTATTTACCTTTTCTATTTTGTCCAAAATCAACCATACCATCCACATATGGAATTTTATCTTCATTATTTACAGGTTCAATTTGTTCTTGAGGTAAATCTTTTGCAATGAAGTCTTTTAAACTGGGTCCATTAAATTTATATTCATTTTTTTTTTTTATATTTGTATTACAATTTTCCACATTATTTGTTGTGTGTAATAATACGATACTTTTGTGTTTCGAAATTAATCTGCAGTAACGATGAGCCAAATTGATTTTTTTCAAAATCATTTTTGAGATACATTCATAAAAAAAAAAATATGTACAATAATAAATTAAATTCGTATTTCTATTTCTATTTTTTGACGTTTTCGAAGTCAGCTTATCATTTTAAAATAAATATTCAATCATATTATCACAATATTGCTTCTCTTTATCATAAAATTGATAACCATATTTATATAATGTTGATTATTATAATGTTCTTATATTTTTTTTTAAATATTTTTATATTTAATGTACCTATAATAAATTATTATGATAAAATTAGAGATAAAATGATTATTGAGGAATAACATTAGGTATTTAGGTATATATTTATACAATGTCTGAATGTCACCAATTATTTTTATTTTGAATTACCTACATTTAATTTTAATTTTGTTGTAACTTATTGTCATTGAATAGGTAATTGAAATTATTTAAAAACAACTAAAATGCTTTTAATTAATTATGAAGTGTAATATTATTGTTTGTTAGTGAATCTGTAATACCTTAGCACTGAGCAGATTTTTTCTTAGAAGTATGCAGTGATACCTATTACATAACTGTAATTCTATTTGAAATACATTATGTATGGTGTACATATTTTTCAATAATTTGTAAATCAAAATTCTTAATTATTTTATGAATACCGTACTATAGTGATTTAATTTTTAGCATATTACTTTTGTCGACTCAATTTATTGATATTAAGTTTGAATCGCTTTGAAAAATATTAGATACAATGGAAAATAATCCTTGTGGCTTGGCATTGCTGCGAATAGTTTCTAGAGGAAACGCTATTATTGCTGAAATTTTACGGCTTAAAGATTACATACCTCCAGTTTATAGGTAAAGCGAATTAATTTAATATCACAATTTTTATCTATAAAGTATAATACTTACAGAGAATACTCTATTATTATTATAACCTATTACTTGTGGCTTAGGTTGTTAAAGCCAATATTGTTACTATAATTGATTACTATTTTTAGTATTTTCAAACATTGATAATTGGTTTAATTCTTAAACACTTTTCATTAAATTGTGAATAAATTTATAGTTATAATTATTATTGATTAACAAAATAAGCTATAATCAAAAATAAAATTTCAATAGCTCGATTACAGCGAAAAATATTTAATTGAAATTTATGTTTTTAGATTAAATAACAAGCAAGATTTACAAAAATATGGACAAATAATACTAGACTTTTCGTATTTTAATAATTCAAATGAAATTGAAAAAAAAATTGAGTCTAATCCAGTAATAAATATTGAATTTATACATAATTTATAGACATTTGAAAAATACCTATATACTTATTTTTACTTTTTAGGTATTAAAGGATTTAAATGAAGAATTGAAAGAAAATAATTTGGAAATCATTAACCAATTCTATTTTTTATTTGAAAATGTATATAAATATATACGTGATTTAAATGAATATCTCGATGAAGTTGAGGAAGGGTCATATATTCAACATACTATTGAAACCATGTTCCTTACTGTTGAAGGAAAACAACTATTGGTAGTTACATCTTGTAAAAACTATTAAAATTATAAACAGTTGATATTTAGCCTATTTGTTTAAAAAAAAATTGTCGATATAATTTTAGTGTGAATCATTGTATTTGTATGGTGTCATTCTATTATTTATTGACATTTACATTGAAGGAATGATTAGAGAGAGATTATTGGTAGCTTATCATCGTTACAATGCACAAGACTATAATAATGAAAATCCAATTGATGATATATGTAAATTATTACGTTCTACAAAACAAAACTCAGTTAAATCTGTATCATCATATCCAGAAAATTATTTCAAGTAACTATTATTATATTTTAAAACTATAATATGCAATATTGTAATATAGTATGTAAATTGTAAATTATGTATAATGTATTATATATAAAGTATTTCTAATTTCATTAATAGAATTATTAAATTAAGATAGTGATTCTAAATCATTTTAGGACCACTACCTAAATTGTTCTCTAAAATTCTACTGCAATATATATTATTTCACTTCTAAAGAATCAAAAAGTAGTTTTAAAGAAACTATATAGTATTGTATGTAATTCATATTTAGACAGTGTAAAAAGAACATACATTTTTTAGAATCTGTTTAATTATAATTAAATTCTCTTTACAAATTGTTTAAAAAATGTTGCATTAGAATATTAATTAGATGTATTTGGTTGATAAAGTTAATTTTGGACCAAAAAAAATAAATATTTTTATGAATAAAATAAATTTAATTTTTGATTAACAATTTTATTTTAGACGAGTACCAGTTAATAAAAATTTAATAAATTTGTCAATTGGAAGATTAAGATCAGATGATATTTACAACCAATTATCATCATATCCAAACCCAGATCATAGAAGTATTGCACTTTCTAGTCAAGCTGCAATGCTGTTTGTATGTTTGTTTTTCAAACCTAAAACTTTACATGAAGAATCTGCTGTTATGAGAGAAATAGTTGATAAATTTTTTCCAGATAATTGGGTAGTTATTTATTTTAACTTATAAAAAATCTTAAAAAATAATAAAAATATTCCATTAATATTTTTAAAGGTTGTTAATGTCTACATGGGTGTAACATTAAATATAATTGATGCATGGGAAGCTTTCAAAGCTGCTAAAGCAGCTGTAAATAATACAATTCAAACAGCAGAATTAAGTCGTTTGGCAAGTTCGCGTTCTGTGAATCTTCAAGTAATAGTTTTGATATTATCAATATTAAAATACTTTATTTTAATATAGAATTTATGTGTAAAAGTTTAAAATAGTCTAATTTAATTGATGCATTCCAAAAAGTTTTAGGTCAGGAATGACAAACCTTTCTTATTCATGTGTTAAATAAAAAATATTGGTTGAATTTTATGTTCCTCAATGGTCAATTAATTTAATGATCTTTTTGTTTTCTTGTTTTATCTAAAAAATTCTCATAAATGATCTTATTGCAGTTATTGGATAGTTGCATGTGTAATAGGTTTCCCATCCTTGTTGTAGGCAGTACTATTATATTCAATAACAAATTAATGTACTGCTTTGATAATTTTGTTTTCATTATGAATGATAATGATAATTTTTTTTTTATTATTTAGAAAATAATAGCTGAGATAAAAAAAATACTTGGAAATCCTAATATTGAAAAAAAAATATTGGATAACATTAATTCTGTTATGAATCTTTGTCGAAATTGTAATGTTCTACTAAGATGGTATTTATTACATACATCAACGATTCATCTTCGTAAGTATAAATTATATAGAAAAATATTATTTGAAATACAACTGTTTTTTACAAATATTTTTAATAATTCAGTTTCAGAAAACACCAAAAAAAGTAAACTTATCTGTGATCAAATTTATAATCAAAGCTTGTATAATGATAGTCTACTTTTTGATTTATTGATAACTACTGCAGAATTTGAACTGAAAATAAAAGATACCTTTAAAAGTGTAAGTTTTATTATTGAATTTAATTAGTTAATTAAATATTTAATATTTAGTTGTTTGTAAAATAGTAATTTTATTCATTTTGATTTATAACATTAGGATTTTATGTCCATCAAAATTATTAAACATTAATTTAGCAAAATTCCAATCTATTTCATTAAAATATATCATAGGTACCTCTTGAGCTATAATAAATTTTATTCGGTGTAAAAACTTATGAGTACCAATCACCAACAAAAAATTTTCTCAAAAATACCAATCACATTTCTCATAAAATTGAACAACCGCTTATTCACTAAAATATATTTTCTCACATTCTTAAAAATTATCAACTCACCAACTCAAAGTTAGGATTATTTTATCATAGCTCATTAAAAAAAAAAAAATAATAATATTATTATATTATATACTCTGTTTCATATAAGAATAATTTTGAGTGGCAATTTTCTCCTCACCGTGGGTGCAATGAGTATGGCAAGCATATGTCTGTTTGTTATTCCAATAAACTAACAATAAAATAACCATCTATACTCTATTATATGATTAATTGTCATATATTTTTCTAAGATTAAAATAGTTAAGTAATTATTCAGCCAAAAACTAGCTTATTGAAGAGTGTAGTCTGACAAAATTCAACAAAAATCTGTCCCTGCCGAGGTTACTCTTATATTATTAAACAGAGACAAAGTTATTATAAATTAATAAAAATAAATGGCTATCTTGTCGTATAAACTCTACAGGCAAGATTGCAACTGCTGTATGCACTCTATTGTATTCTATCACTCTTGAACTATACTAGACAATTTATACTAATGAATGAATGATGAAAAAGTGGTTTAATGACAAACAAAAATTTTTATAAACAAGTATATTACCATTGAAAATTAATTTATATTATCAATGTCATCAGCTGTCGTCATCATCTCGTTATTTGTTATTAATTATTCATTTTATTATTATTAATGATTATAAATATAAAAAAATAATTTTAAAAAAAATGTTGTATAACATACTGTTTTACCTATGTAAAATATTATAAAAAATATATATTAATTAACTTAAACCATATCCCTCAGAAATGCATTAAATGTGTCTATAAAATAGAAAACTTTGTGTGATCTCAGTTATTGTTACCCAATGATTAAATATACAATTAAAATTATATCATGCGTGGAAAGAGAGAACTAATCATCACAATAATAAAGATATAAAATATGTAGTAGAGTGTTTACGACAAGATAGCCAAAAAAATACAATTTTGAATCTTTGTTACTTTTTTGGATTAATTTCTAACATTACAATTACAAGTGATATAGTTATTTATATAATTATATGGATAATGTTTTTAGTTATTAGACGAAAAAGAGGCTAGATGGCTTAAACGAAAAGATGACTGTGTTGAACGTATGAATGAATTATCAGAAATCTTTTCAGGTCTAACTACTATGTCACGTGTAAAGAAAAATGGTAATAACATATTATACTATATTTATAGAAAACGGTTATTTTAAAATATTTATAATACTTATAATAATATTTTTAAAAGAAAATTTACAGATTTGGTTTATTAATATTGGTAAACAAATTGAAAAAATTTCCATGGAAGATGAGCTTGTTACTAGTAGAAAAATCACCCAAATTATCAAAGCTTTAGATGAAGTTCAAGGTATTGTTTTCATAAAAGTTCTTCATTTGTTATGTATTTACAAATATACTTTGTTAATAGAGTTTCACCAACTTGCAAATAATTATCAAGTAAGCCAAACAATTAAAGATACACATACTTATCTTTGTGAAATGATGAAAACTATAAGTGTCAAGGATAATGTTCTCATAGATCTTCAAATCATTGGAGACTTTAGTTATGCTTGGTATCATATTGATAGATTCACTGGTGTGATGCAAAATACAATAAAAGAAGAACCTTCATTTGTGATCAAACTTCGAGCAACATTTTTAAAGGTATTTATAAAAGATTAATTCAATATTGTAGTATCAAAATAAAAATAACTATAAATGTAGGATAACAGGCTGATGTTAATTGAATATAAGCATGTGTTTTTAACATTTTACTGGTATAATCCAAACCATATAATATGTACTAGTTTATTTTTTCCAATTTTGTACACAACCTAAAATTAAATGATATCTGTTTCAAATTTTTGGAAAGTGTATGATTTATATAAATAAATTGTTAATTTCTTATATTTTTAATTTTTACTTTACTATAATTTAAATTTTTGTAGTGTATTATGTGTGTAGTAATCTTAAATTTTAATGAGTTAATGTTATTTACATTTTTTAGTTGGTGTCGTGTATGGAAGTACCTCTTATACGCATTAATCAGTCTGGTAGTGAAAATTTAATGTCAGTTAGTAAATATTATTCACATGAGTTAATAGAATATATACGAAAAGTACTACATATAATACCTGAGACTATGTTTAAATATATGACTAAAATAGCTACTCTACAAACAGATGTTATTAAAGAAGTACCCACTAGATTAGAAAAGGATAAACTTAATGATTATGCGCAGCTTGATGAAAGACTTGAGGTAAAATAAAAACATTTGTTTGTTTAAAATGATATTTTTGCATAAATGTTTTATTAAATATATTTGTAGGTAGCCAAGTTGACTTATGCTGTGTCTGTGCTGACAGAAGGTGTATTATGTATGAAAAGTACCCTTGTTGGTGTTGTAGAAATTGATCCCAAACAACTTCTTGAAGATGGGATTCGGAAAGAATTAGTTCAACATATTGCAGTAGCGCTTCATAATGGTCTTATATTCAACCCTAAAGCAAAAGTAAATTTTTTTAAATGTCAAAGTTACTGTAACTAATAAAATCATTTTTTTAGACTAGTGAATTATTACCTAAACTTGATGCTCTTAGCAACACAATGACTGGTTATCGTCGTTCATTTGAGTATATACAAGATTACATTGGTATATATGGCTTAAAAATATGGCAAGAAGAATTAAGTAGAATCATTGGCTATAATGTTGAAATGGAATGTAATAGCTTTATGCGGGCAAAAATATTAGATTGGCAAAGCGTTTACCAGAGTAAGGTTATACCTGTTCCATCATTTGAGCCATGTGATGGTCAATCTATGACATTTATCGGCCGCCTTGCTAGAGAACTGATTCGCATTACTGATCCAAAGTAAATGATTTGTCTTAGTAAAATTATAAGAACTTGGATTTTATGTAATTTGCTAATTATTATGAAGTAGAGATAAAAAAAAGTGGGTAACTGTTCCTGTAGTGCAGTGACAAATATATTTTGTTTAACATGATTTTAAATATTAAATCATTGCTTACAAATAACAATTCTGAGCAAAGACAGTATGTCCTGTCTCAGCCTATATTACTAAGTATATTTTATGATATACCTACTTTTAAACTGTTATTAAAGTAATTTTAATTTACTATTAGTAATATAGTAAATTGAATTATATTGTAAAAAACACAGTATATGTTATTGTGTGTACAAAAATATACAAAAGTACAAATAAATATTTACTAACTACAAATATGGAGTATATAGTATAATATTATAAAATTAAACAGTATTTTGTAGTGTAAAACTTTTAATTTTTATTGCGAAAATATGAAAATTAACAATGGTTTCTTATAGTTAGTTTATATTGAGATTAAAAAATATAATAATACAATAATTGCTATGTTTTCAGAAAAAATGTAATCAATCTATTATTATATTAAAAGTAAAATAAATGTCTTTAATATCTATATCAACAACACATCTTGAAATATATTTAGTAATATAAACTAATAGACTATTTCCTCTTAGAATATTTTTTTTTTGAATACGATATATCATTAAATTTAAAACACCCATTACAGTAACCCACTTAAAATCTAATATACAGTAAAGTAGTTCCAACTTACCTACTTTTTTTTTTGCTTTTCTTTATATTTTTAGATTATTTAATGTATATTTTATGGTTTATTAGATTATTTTATAACATTTGTTAATACTTCTATGTCTGAGTCCTACTGATTATTAATCTATATCTAATTATTATATATTATTGTATTTAGGGTAGCTGTTTATAAAGAGCAAACTACGGCATGGTATGATTATAAGACAAATGAAGAGATTATTAATATAAGATTTTATTCAAATATAATTACCTCAATAAACATTTGTGGACTTACTGGCTTAGATAAACTCATTGGATTTATGATAGTTTCCGAACTTAAGGTTGGTACAAAATATAATGCTTACTTCTTATCTTGTATTCTTATTAATTTGTATCTTATTATTGATATTAGTTGAATAAAATTTAAATTAGTTAAGTTAATAAATTATTATTTTATAAACATTTTAGAAACTGTTGGATTATTTACAAACAAATATAATTAAAGATAGAGAATGGTTACAAATTCTTGGTACAATATCAAAAGAATTGGTTTCTAATAACAATATCATAAGTAAGATGTAAAAATAATAAAATGATTTACATAAATAAAATTTATATTTAAAAAGTATAATAATATGTATGTTAGATTATTATTATTATTATATTGATTTAAAATATTAATATATTTGAAAATTATGTAATGTTTAACATTACATAGCACTAGAAAAAAATTCAATCAAATATAACTGTGTATTGTCTTATTTAAATTAAAAAATTAAAGCTTAATTTAATAGAATTATTTATGTTCTTGATTTTTATGATATTATATTTATTGTTTCTTAGATAATCCAATTAAAACATATCAAAAACACTGCTCAAAGTTTCAAAAAGTTCTACCAAGTATTTTGGATTCTATCATGAGAATTGGACAGCTTCAGATCATACGCAAGCAAATATTTTTTGAACTTGAAGTCTCATGTAAATTGAATGCTGGAAATTTATTTGATTGTCTAGAAGCAATGAACAAGTAATATTATTATTTGTCTTTATAACAATATATATTAATTTATTACAATGTGTATTTAAAAAAAAATTAAGCTTTACTGTATTACAAAAATGAGCTTCTTTAAAATTAATTTTATTATTATTAACTCATCATTTCTTTTTATATTTTTATAACATAAAAGTAGTAAATTATAAGAAGATGTATTTTCTCTTTCTTAAAAATGTGTAACATAGCAAGTTTGTGTTCAATAAATCCAAATTTGCATTATTAGCTTTAATCTTTAATGTCCATAAAAATGACCAACTATCAAATTTTAAATAAAAATATTAATTAAAACATGATGTAAATTATTTTTTTATGTTTAAAATTTTGATTATGTTAGAAGTATTTTAAAGTTATAGAGTTTATAAAAACCCTCGAGATTTCCTAAACTATATTTTTACATACAAGTTTGATAATAGATCAATTCACTTTAATATTAAAGCTAACATCATAAAACTCGATCTTTTGAACACACTTTTATAATTATAAAAAATTTTACAATATATTTTAATGAAATGTAACTAAATATTATTTTTTAGAAAATATCAAGATATTTTTAATTATTTTATTTTATGGTAATAAATAATAACACACTATAATTAATAAACTAAAAATAGACTTTTTCAAATTGCATGTAAAAATAAAATTTATGTACCTATACAAAGGTAAGTAATTGCTATAGAAATTAAACTTACAGTAATTTAAGACTTAAGATACAAATATTTAATAACTCACTCGACATATATAAGTAGAACTAATATTGATTATAAAATATTATTTTGTTTTAGAGCTGTGTTAAATGAAATAAAAGCACATTTTAGAGACCCAGAAAACAAACCATACCCAGCTGACGACAGCCCACTATTACCAGAACTGAGTAAAATGTTGGATTGGGCTGGAATTGGAAATCCATACTCAAAAATTTATATAACTACAAATAATACTCAATATATATCTTTAATTACATTTTTATTGACTATTTCACAATTCTCAAAATTGCAATACACGGAAAATTTAGGTTTGATAATTTTAAAATATTAACAAAGACTTATTATCTTTAATTATTATTCATTAATTTAATTTCATTAAAGCTTTATTGATGTGGAAAAAAATTGGAGATCCTGTTGATGGTGCTCCATTATATATAGGCGTGCAGACATTCCTAAAACAATTTCATCCAGATATAACTACACAATATTTAGAATATTTAGCTCAATATATGAAATCTATCATTAACCACTGTACCAAGTATGTATTTTAAATCACTTATCTAAAACTTTTTGTTTTATTTAAATTTTTTAGTGATTATTTTTAGTTTCATGTAGTTAAAAATAGTTTTAAAATTCCCTCATTATACTATATTTTTACAATGCCTTGTATTAGAATATTGCATTTTCATATCAGGTTGTTTAAAAAATTAATTAATTTGATAAAATTGTTCAATTAAACTAAATAGTTTAATAATAGGTCGCACTAAATCATGCCCATTAATTCATCATTGATTCGTTAAATGATAAATGATTGTATGTGGTTATATAGCATTAGAGTGTTAGTGGTCTCTTATAATTTTTCCCATTCACACATAATTTCTAGCATGTAGTGTTGGTTAGTTATATTATGTCCCAAATTTTAGCATATTTCACAAGATTTCAACATTTAAAATAGATTTTAAATTTATTAAATTTAATATTACAATAGTACATATTGTACAGACAGCTGTATTCAAATAATAAAATGTATATACTGATTTATGTACTCTATTGGTTTACCAAATATGCGTATAATTTCAAGTAGTAATTACAAAGTTTTATTACTAATTAGTTTTTAATTTAATTAAAAAATGTTTAACGTGCCTATTAGATTTTTATACTTATTATAGATTATTTTACTACATCATATTACATATAAATGAATATTATAATAAATTGTTAAGAAATACAATTCTAAAAGATACACTTTCATTAGTTTCATTCTTTAATCTCAATTTTAAATCATTTATTTTTACTCATCGTTTAATATCAACATATATTATACAGCGTACTGCTCAATGCTCAAACAAAATAGTCATTGTTAATTAGAAAATAATTATGATTTCTATAGTGATTTCTAATCATTATCGATCCCCAGTATACATTAATTATTATAAAATATTAATAAATTATAAGTAATAATATTAATAATAAATATGTGACTAATTTTATAAATATTTAAGTACAGAATACAAATTATTAAAATTATTATAAATTATATTTTATTTTATTATGTATTTTAATATTAATTATTTATTTTATTATTTATCATATTTTGTTTGATAGATCAATTGAAAAACTTGATATACCTAATGAATATTATATCACTCAATTCTATGTAGAAAGGTTTATTTTCGTGGGAGGATTAAATCAGCAAATGTTTATGGAAATGGTACCACACTTTTTAACTGATACACTCGAAAATTTGAAGAATTTATCAATTAAGTAATAATTTGTAGCATCGTGATATTGAGTTAAAAAATAAGGCCATTAATCAAATAAAAATATTATTGTTACCAAATAAATTGTAATGTTATAAATTATTTAATAAAGTATATTTATATTTTTTTTTATAGTTTCTTGTAAATTATGTTTTATTTAAAATGATATAGGTGTATCCTTGAAAATAATTTCTAGAAGAATTCAGATGGGATTCTTCCAGAAGTTATTCCACCATAAATTATTATATGCGAAAATCACTTTATATGATAACAATTTCAGTGAATACATAATAATATAACCACTAATCACGGTTATGCTGTTTGAAAAAAATAATACAAAATTGATAAATACTACAATATACAGCCAACTTTATATCTTGAAAAAATTTAATCAAATTTATACCCGATTATGATGTACCTACACAACAAATAAATAATTCAATTTACACCATTTAAAAGAAAATATATGTATATATCCTTATATGTCGGTCACATAATAGAGTATAGACCGAACAATAAAATAAAGAACAAGCGGAAGGACAACAATGTATATAATATGGATAATTTTTACCAAATGAATATATTATATTAAACATTATGTCCTCTTGAGGGGGCTGGGGCAATCCTAGAGTTTATTTTTAGAGGTATTTAAAGTACCTAAATGTTGCCGATTTTCAAGAATAAATTTGCCGACTGTATATACTAAATATTATAGTAATTAAATTTTCCTATATTAATAATTATATATATCAAATTGTATATATTATTTTCTATATTTACTATATTTAATGCTGACTTAGATATAAATTTAAATCATGTTCTTCTAAATCAAAAAATACTATTTTTATTTTTCATATTTTATGGTATTTATTTTAATGCATATTTTGGTATTTTAAGAACATAAATGAATACTTTTTTTAATAAATGTACAGAAAATTTAAGAATATGATTAAAAAAAAAAAAGTTGAATTTAAAACTTTAATATCTAAAGATTTCTAAAATACATACATATAATTATAAATGTTTATTATTCTATTCTTAGTTAGTTTGGCCGAAGACCATTTTGTGAATAATTATAATTGTTTGACAAGATCTTTTTCACAACTCAATATCATCAACGAGCTAAGACAATTTGGAGTCATCGACACACTATTGTATATTCAAAGCATGATAAGAAATTTATATTAGTTATAACTTATAAGTATAGGATGATTTAATATGTTCTAAAATTGCATCCTGATCCGATCACTTGTTCTCGTCCGACTCCACATCCCTCATCCTCACCCGATCACGCATCCTCATCCGACTACATATATGACATAAGTAAAAAGGAACATATCGTCAATCGGATGCGGGATAGAATGAGAGATTATGCGGGGTCAGATGAAGATGAGTGATCGGATCAGGACGTGGTTTTAGAACATACCAAATCATCCTACTACCATTTTATTATGTGCAATGCCGTATAACTATCGGGGTTGCAAGGGGTGCATTTCACCCCAGTAGAGAATTTAGAGAGCCTCTTCAGAACCCTCTTAGTTGAAAAATACTTAAAATTATTATATAGAAAATTAGAAACTAATATATAGATAATAAGTAGGTATCTAGAAATAAAATATAAATTAATCGTGTTCTGTTGCAACAACCATGTTACCTGCAATTAAAGTAGAATCAGTAATAGTTTATTTTTAATAAGCCACCACGGCACCGCACTGTAGACTATTGATTTTGAACTAATCGTTTTTAGGATTTTACATTGATTAATCATAGCGCATAAAGTAATTATAACTTAATATACTTAATATTTTTAATAAATATAATTTAGATGCTACAAAATGTAGAGGACAAGGCTACGACGGAGCCTTATAGTTATGAGCGATGTTAAATCAATGGTACAAAAAAATGATTTCTGATGTAGTCCCTAGTACATTGTACGGCCCATAACTTAAATCTACTAATCACTGATGTTACCAAAAATTTATTAAAAATGTCTACATTTTTCGATATACCAGTCCAAAATACATATTTATTTTCAGCCAAAGTTCACCTGGATGGATTTAAATTTGGTAATAATATTGCAAATCAAATACAAAAAAAAAGTTTTGAAAAAAGAGTGCAATACAAGATGAGAAACTACATTCATCTGCAGTATATATGCATTAAAATAAAATTTTATTAATGTGTTAAAATCTTTGACAAATATTTCACTAACCAGAAAAAAAGTGATGAATTAAATATAGAGCAAATAATCTCTTAAAAAAAAAAAATGCAATTTGAGTTTGTTTTGCTGATAATTATATGAGAAAATGTTTTGAAACCATTATCTGTAGCATTCAAAATGTTGCAGTGCTCATAAACCAGTAAGTCTCCCAAGCCAGTGAGTTTTTGCAAATTGGTATTAAAGAATTAAAGCTAAACCCGCACGTCAGTGTTTCACAGTTTATCAACGGAAAAAACTTAAATCTACTATATTCACAGTTTTCGATGTTTCGTAGCAACAATTCGAAACAATTGTCGCACAAGGTGCGTAAACAACACAAGTTAGGGCTTATGCGGTGGTGCCCGCAGGAAATACGCGATATAACCTCCCTAAGTCGTCCTAAATGATATTCTCTATCGCCGACCACCACGAAATAATGATCAAACGATCCAAGTGTACTGCGTACCTATTGCCCGCACTCGAATTTCTAGTTTTCAATTACTGGCGGTTTTGGTTGTATTTTTTGATATAAAATAATGTTATCATATCATACGTACACCCAACTACCCAAGTACCATGTTCTAACTCGAACAAATGATTTTGTACTTAAATTATTTTCAAATGTATTATTCGGATTAGGTTGACCTAACCTAGAAATTTGTGCATAAATTCTGGTTCAGGTTCCGTACTATATTCATCCGCAGCTAAAAAAAAAAAAAATTTAAAAACATATTCAAATTAAATAACAATAAAAAAATTTAATTGATTATTTATTTTATATTAATTAAATTATATAATCCTCAACCAGATAACTCTATGTAAGAAGTAATTTTAAATTTAATTAAATAAAAAATACCTGCTGTTATAATAATATTATTCAAATAACTTTCTTTTCTTTTCTATTTTTCTCATTTCTTTTCATTTTTCAATATTTATTAATTTTATGTCAACGCTAAGCATCGAACTAATTGGATGTCCTTTTTCTCTTTGCTTCACTAAAAATAACTTATCTTGTTGTATACTTATCATATTAAGTGCATCTTGATGAGCAATATTAAAAATAGGTCATTCATAGAATCACCAAATAATTTTTCTCTTTGTTTCAATAATGTTTGGTTGGTCTTTTTAAACTTATCTTTGCATCTATGGGGTACTTGTGTCGGAATCCTAGCTTTTTTCCAAAACACTACACATTCCTCGATCACTATTCACTATGAAGTGTTATCGTTTAGATTTAGTTTTGTTATTCTCATATTATATCATGAAACTTTTAGACAGTCGTCTCTAGAAGACGATTTTGAACTTGTTATTTGATGATTCATATAAATAACTTTTCACTCGAAGACATTTTAAATATTTGAATAATAACTGAGCTAAAAAATAAATATAATAAATATATATACTATAACTGCACAACAAATCACACTGACGGTATGTTTTATTATTTTGTGTGTTAACTGCGATGTAAATAAATAGATATAGGATGACGAAATATTCCCAAGTACGATAAAAGGTTATTATTTATTAATAATAATCAATTTACGCTGTTGCGTAATAATGATTATCAAATGGATAAATCTCTATCATTTATAATAATAACTATAATAATACCTAGTTCTATAAAAGCTGAAATATTTATATTATTCAACTTTCAGCTTAAGTCGCCACGTGTTAAATTTATTCGATTGAGCTCAAACTATAAATTTTCATTTAAAAGATACATAAAAACAAAATAAGGGAGTGCACTAGTAAAAAGTATAACATGAGAAAATAAGTGGCACATGAATTATTTATTTTATAGAGAAAAATGTTAAATACGATAGTGTTTTTATTTAGAATTATCTGTAAAATGACAAGCAACTTTTAAATATTTTTACAATATTTCAGGAGAAATTAAGGTCAACTTAAGAAATTCAAATGAGAACGTACCTACCTATAGTTTTTTTTCCATCCTAATGCGTGAAACATTTTTTTTAGAGTATTTCGATACACACATCCCTAAGTCGAAATTCGGACTATAAGTTTATGAGTTATACCTAAGTATTTAAAGTTTATGTGTGAGTGGAAAGAAGTGATATACGGAGAAACCCGTAAAATGTTGATTATTATTACTCCACTCATCCAACTTTAAATACTTGTTAGTAATAATAATAATAATAATGATTCATAAACTACTCATCTGCAAGATTACAAAAACATAAAAGGTTTCTATTTTAATTTATCTGTAAGTAACCCCCAAAACCCCTCTAAAATATTTTCAAAAACATAAAAAATACCTGTTTATCATTTTAAATATTTCTACGCCAAAAAACTTTCGTATTATACATTTTTTCGTATTTTGAATATTTATATGATAAAATGACTGTAACATAAATTTTGACCACTCTGTATATATATTAAGATATCCGTGTATGTAGCCATGTAGGTCATATATAGATATTATACCTGCATTGAATTAAAAAATAAAGTATATATTATAAGGCACATTAAGTAAATAAAAATAAAATAACCAACTAAATAGCAATATTGCAGCTATTTCCACAATCGCTTACGTATAATAATGTATAATAATATCTGTGCATATAGCATGTTATATACCTATATGTCTTATACTATATTATCATTATATACCTTTAACAATAGAACATATTGCAGCACGGACCGCACGGTGCACCGAAGAATGCAGCAGCTGGAATGTGACAATTGAAATTTAACGCGTGGTAGTCGCGTGGTAGCATGATCACAGTAGCAGTTTGACGTTTAAAATATATTTTTTTTTATTAAAAAAATATCATAAAATGTAGCATGTCGCATGTGCATATCGTATATTATAGATTATTTTTATCATGAAATAATAATTATAGAC